TCCCCCCCCCCCCCCCCCCTTTTTTCCGCTTCCATCCCCCCCCCCCTCCCCCCCCCCACCCCGACGAATTTCGCTCTCTCCCTCGTATCACCTTGCCTGCTTGCGACTCCGTCTTCTTTTTTCGCTTAAACAAAAAAAAAGAACGCCGGCGTCCACTCGGGAGACGCCACCCTTCTCCTGCCCGCCCAGAAGCTTTGGGTCGAGACCATCCGGAGGGTCAAGAGAGTGGCCTCAGCCATCTGCAAGGCCCTCAACATCTCCGGCCCTTTCAACATCCAGCTCATGGCAAAGGAGCAAGACATCAAGGCACGTCGTAAGAAAGTAGAACATATGTATGCATACCCTGGTGTTTTTTTTTTTTTTTTTTTTCTACTTTTGGTTTGTGTTCGAGTCTACCGGACGCTTTAACGTCCGTTTGAGATGTTGACACCAAAGCTGTTGTCTTGCTTTCGTTTTCTCTCCTTTGGTTGTGTTTGCATCTCTAGCGATGTTGCGGTGGTGAGCTTGTTCCTGTAGAGTGTGTCGATTAGAAACAAAAGGCATGCTGCAGTGCTGGACGGGGCAAAGGATGCAGCCTTATTCTACGGCACACTACAGCATAGTTGACTCGGATGAGAATGACAAGCGCAGGCGTGATTTGGTTCTAGACGTTGTCGTTGTCGTCGTAGCTGGTGTTGTTGCTACTGTTGTTTGTGTTGGTGTTGGGACGTTGCATCAGCTCACATCTAACCGTTTCGAACGGCGCAACTTTCTGTCTCGACGGGGCAACGCAGGTGATCGAGTGCAACCTCCGGGCCTCGCGAACGTTCCCGTTCATCTCCAAGACCCTGGACTGCAACTTCATCACCCTGGCCACCCGAGTCATGCTCGGGGTGAAGGCTGTCCCGTACACTATCAGCCTCTTGGACATCGACTACGTCGCCGTTAAGGTGCGGATAACCAGTGTCGCTGTTCTGTGGAGATTTTCTCCATGCACACGTCTAGGATGCTGTTGATGTGATGTCGACCACCGCCCCCCCCCCCCCCCCCCCACATGGGGTCACCTGTATTGAGAACAGTATTTGTAACAATTG